AGTACACCCTAACTTAGGTACGATAGGCGAAACTAGGGCGGTAACGTTTAGTAACCCGAACCGACCTCCAACGGACGTGTATAAACAAAGAAAACAAACGACTCCTCCCTTCCTAACTACACTCTCTCTCTCTCTCTCTCTCTCTCTCTCGGGTTGGAACTTGGAACCGCAACCCACACGATCACAAAACATGGGACGAGCAAAACCCTCACCGTCGATTTTGATCCATGTGCTCGATGACTCCCTCTCTTTCCCGACAAAAGGATCTTTTGTATGCATCAACATTTTCACATTAATTTGGTTTCCTTTTGCTACTACAACAATGAGTTAGGTTCAAAAGATCTATGTTGTTGGCCCAATGCATTTAATGATCAACGAGCCCATACTAATAAATGTGAATGATATTCATATCAAATTTACTAATGGGTGCGGCTTGTAGGCTCTAGAGTCTAAACAATTAAATTGAAGCCAAATTTCAAATAGTGTCAAGCAAATGTGGTTTTAATATTGAAGATCTTGTGATAGCCTTAAAATATATTTTTATATTTATTTATAAAATTTAAAACTTCAAAAATAATATAGATTGATATATCAATGAAAACTTGAAAATTGACTATCTAATGCGTTATAAAATATACTATTTTCAAAATTTGAAATCATTATTTTCTTATATCAGCTCGATATAAACTTTTTTCCTTTACGTATTGAGCACTTAAAATCTATTTAGTAGTATCACCTGTATTTTTCAACTCATTAATAAAAGATTCAAAACTATTGACTATTTTGAGTATTAAATACTCTATACACGTATCACCTACCTGACAAAACTGAAACAAGCAGCCACTTTGTACTTGAATCCTTACATTCAGAAGTTCAAACCAAGAAAAATAACACACAATTTTTACATTCCAAATCGAAAAGTCAGTTTACTGCACATGAAAATAAATACAGCATTGATGTTCCTTACAGGAAGGAGACGGGATAAGATGAACGGCCCCAACACTTTCTTTAAATGCCACAAATGCCCCGAAAGGAGGCCAAGTTCAATTAAATATCTCGAACTCGGCCCTCTGCAAAGTCCCCTCTTTTAAAACGAGACTTCAATTAAACATGAAGTATATCAATTATCAAATATCACATAAATCTAGGTAAATTATTAAAGCTTAAGTGAGCGTAAGTAAAAGGGCTCAGGATTTAAATTCAGGGTATTTTACAGAAAAGCAGCCGTATTTCATCTTCAACCTAAGGTTGGTCGCCGAGGCTATAAAAAAAATAAAAAAAGAATTAAAAAAAAGAAGGCCGAATCAAGTCAGCACTAGCCCGGACCTTGGGCCACATATTGTAGCCTTGGCCATAGTTTTCTAGAGCCAAGTGGCCCAGCCCAATTCTACTTGAACATTTGCAGGATTTTAGGGGCGAGGATCTTTTGGAAAGGCATTCCAAAGCTCAGGGTTCTTTGGTCATTTGGAGAAAAGTTTAGAGTATTTCTAGACATTATCCAAAAACACAAATAAAAAAAGTAATAAAAAAGACCGTCACTTCCCAAGGCTTAAACAATACTCGATTGGCTCAAAACCTCATTTCCCGACGCACTTTCCCGGTCAGCGTCGATCGTAATAGCCACATAAGAGCGGTTGCTGTCGCCGGCGAATTCCCCTAAGGTTGCCGGGAAACTGAATTTCGAGTCGTCTCCCGGCAATTCATGCAAGTTTACCGCCACTGTGATACTGTTTCCGGGCATGTTCAACACATTTTCCGGCGCTCTGAGGCTGTCTCCCACCGAGTTCCTTAAATTTTCCGGCTCTCTGAAAGTTTCAGGCGATCTCCTCCCGCTGTCCGGCTGCCAGATAACGTTTTCTGGGTTAAAGTCGGCATGCCTAACCGTACGGACAGATTTCCCGGCGAGCTCACGTGCAGGCGAGGAGAGAGGTGTGAAGAAAGGGGGAGAGGAACAAGGAGTTGAAAATGGCGTCTCTATCGCCGATTCCAGAAAAGCATCGCTCAAGCTCTTTGTTCTTGACTTGCTCTTTCTCGATCTCGCATCTTCTGACTCTGTATCTTCTCTGCTCCCTTCTTTGATGGTGAACAAAACCCTAGGATATCCCATAAGGCTATGAAGCCTCAGCAAATCGGGGTCCATTTCAGGCGGAAAGTACAGAAAATCGTCGGATTCTGGCAAGGGAGGTGGGGTAAAACACAGGGATCCATCTGATTCCGACTGTGGCGAAGCCGAGGAATGTTGGAAATTGTCAGGCTGTGGTGGCGAAGTCGCCGGAAAAGCGGCAGTAATTGAGTTGACTGGCGTTGCAGCGGCCGTGGCTTGGTTTTTCCAGCATAAGAAGTAGAGGAGCTCCTTAGATTGGCTCTGATAAGATTCACTGGATAGGTCGCCGGAAATTGAACTTACGGCAGTTTCTTCCCGGAATCGTTTTCTCCACCATAGAACGTAATAGAGCTCGGCTACTATGGCGAGGAAAAATACTGCAAAAATCCCCGTTATAGCAGCTGCAAACGTGTTCATGGAGCTCATGGTTTTGAGTTTCTCTCTCTAAAAATTCATAAAAAAAAAACAGAGAGATATTATCTCTCTAATCTCCCACAAAAATTACCAGTTTCTATCTCTAATTAGTCCCCAGGAAGGGGTTTCTCTCTCTAATCTTAGGAAGATGGTTCTGAAAATCTCTTTGATCAATCATCAAAAGCGAGCTTCTCTCTGCTGAAACTATTTGATTTCCTTGGGGATGGGCTTTGAAATAGTGGAGAGAGTGGGAGTTACCGGTTGACGGGAGAAGTAGTTTTGTACGGGAAGCGAGTGACCGGTGGTAGGCGGTGGATTAACTGGTTGTTGAAATTTATGGCAAGAAGCAGCGTTTTAAAAAACGCCGAGTCGAATCGGACTCGCCCGGTTCGACTCGGAAATAGTGAAAAAGGAACCGGATCGCCCCGAAAATCGGAAATCGTCCGGTTTTAGAGAGAACCGGACGATTCTGTACAGTGAATCTCCGATTCAC